AGAACATTTCAAGATCTATCCTGAAGTACAGTGCTGTCAGTGATAGGATACTATCAATATGTCTACAAGGAAGTTGTCAAGGATTTCATTTTACTTGGATCCACAATCAACACCCATGGAAGCAGCAGTCAAGAAATCAAACGACGACGCACAGCATTGGGTAAATATGCTGCAAAAGACCTCTTTCATGTGTTAAAAAGCAAAGATGTCACTTTAAGAACTAAAGTGCGCCTGACCCAAGCCATGGTGTTTTTGATCACCTCACTCACATGTGAAAGCTGGCTAATAAATAAGGAAGATCGAAGAAGAACTGATGCCTTTGAGTTACGGTACTGGTGAAGAATGTTGAATACACCATGGAATGCCAAAATATCAAACAAATCTGTCTTGGAAGAAGTACAGCCAGAATGCTCATTAGAAGCGAGGACGGCGAGACTTCATCTCATATACTTTGGACATGTTATTAAGAGGGACCAGTCTCTGGAGAAGGATATTATGCTTGGTAAAGTAAAGGGTCCGCAAAAAAGAGGAAGACCCTCAATGAGATGGACTGACACAGTGGCTACAACAATGGGCTCAAGCATAACAATGATTGTGAGGATGGTGCAGGACCGGGCACAGTGTTTCGTTCTGTTGTACACAGGGTCACTATGAGCTAGAACTGACTCAATGGCACCCAACAACAACGCAAGGAAGACCAGTTAATACAACTATTATTCAAATTTATACACCGACTAATGCCAAAGATGAAGAAATTGAACATTTTTACCAACTTCTGCAGTTTGAAATTGATCAAACACTCAATCAAGATGCATTGATAATTACTGGCAATTGGAACACGAAAGTTGGAAACAAAGAAGGATTGGTAGTTGGAAAATACAGCCTTGGTGACAGAAACAACGCCGAAGACTGCTTGACAGAATTTTGTAAGACCAACAACTTATTCATCAGAAACACCTTCTTTCAACAACATAAATGGTGACTATACATGTAGACCCTGCTGGATGGAATATACAGGAATCAAATTGACTATGTCTGTGGAAAGAGACGATGAAGAAGCTCAGAAGCATCAGACACAACAAGGGCAGGGGCTGACTGCGGAACAGACCATCAATAGCTCATACACAAGTTCAAGTTGAAGCCGAAGAAAATTAAAACATGTCCATGAGAGTCAAAGTACAACCTTGAGTGTATCTATCCCACCTGAATTTAGACACCATCTCAAGCACAGATTTGAAGCACTGAACACGAATGACCAAAGACCAGACAAGTTGTGGGATGACATCAAGGACATCACACATGAAGAAAGCAAAAGGTCATTAAAAAGACAGGAAAGAAAGAAAAGACCAAAATCGATGTCAGAACAGACTCTGAAACTTGCTCTTGAACACAGAGTAGATAAAGTGAACAGAAGAAGTGATGAAGTAAGAGCTGAACAGAAGATTTCACAGGACAGCTTAGAAGACAAAGGGAAGTATTATAATGAAATGTGCAAAGACCTGGAGTCAGAAAATCAAAAAGGAAGAACACGGTTGGCATTTCTCAAGCTGAAAGAGGTGAAGAAAAAGTCTAAGCTTCAAGTTGCAATACTGAAGGATTCTATGGGCAAAAAGGAAACCTTGATGTCACAGTGGTTAAGCATGGGGCTGCTAACCAAAAGGGTGGCAGTTCGAATCCACCAGGTGTTCGCTGGAAACCCTACAGAGCAGTTCTACTCTGCCTTATAGGGTCGCTATGAGTCGGAATCGACTCGATGGCTATGGGTTTGGTTTGGTTTATGGGCAAAAGATTGAATGACGCAGGAAGCATCAAAAGAAGATGGAAAGAATACAGAATCACTGTACCAAAAAGAACTGGTGAAAGTTCAACCATTTTGGGAGGTAGCAGATGATCAAGAACCAATGGTATTGAAGGAAGAAGTCCAAGTTGCACTGAAGGCACTGACAAAAACAAGGCTCCCAACAACTGCCTCCTTTGCCACGAGACTAAAAGAACTGGATGATGCCTGGCTACCCGAAAAAAATCCACTGCTGTCGAGTCAATTCCAACTCATAGCGACCCTATAGGACAGAGTAGAACTGCCCCATAGGGTTTCCAAGAGTGCCTGGTGGATTCGAACTGCCAACCCTTTGGTTAGCAGACGTAGCTCTTAACCATTACACAACCAGGGTTTCTGTCTGGCTACCATTACTGAACATTTTGATCAAAGATTCCATAGAAGAAGAATCTTGATCAAAAGGGGGAAAATGCAGATCAGAATTTCAAATTCTTATGGATTCTAGACTTCCTGGAGACATGAAAGATGGATGAATCCCTGAAACTATTGCCCTGAGATAATCTGTAAACTTTAAACCAAAATATTCCCTGAGGTCTTCTTAAAACCAAACAATGGTTTAGCTTTACTAGTAAAATTGTCCCCTGTGAGCATTATGCTCTTTTAAGAACTATCTATACGGAGTCAAACTGATAACAGCAACTTGAAAGATTAAAAAGGAACCTTAGGGGGCAGTGAATTTATGTTAAGGGGGGTGGGGACAGCTCAGAAAGGAGGGTGAGAATGGTTGCACAACTTGAAAAATGTTATCGATGTCACTAAATGGTACATGTAGAAACTGCTGAATTGCTGTATGTTTTACTGCGTATATTCTCAACGACAACAAAATGAAACCATAAAAATAAAAAAGTCTTCAGGAATTCATGGAATACCAACTGAGATCTTTTAACAAACGAATGCAACACTAGAAGTGCTCACTAGTCTATGCCAAGAAATTTGGAAGACAGCTACCTGGCCAACTGACTGGAAGAGATCCATATATAAGCCCACTCTAAAGAAAGGTGATTCAACAGAATGTGGAAATTATTGAAAATATCATTAATATCATATGCAAGTAAAATTTTGCTGAAGATAATTCAAAAACAGTTGCAGCAGTACATATACAGGGAACTGCCAAAAATTCAAGCTGGATTTAGATGAGAATGTGGAACAAGGGACATTGCTGCTGATATTAGATGGATCTTGGCTAAAAGCAGAGAACACCAGAAAGATGTTTACCTGTGTTTTACTGACAATGCAAAGGCATTCGACTGGTTGGATCATAAGAAATTATGGATAACATTGTGAAGAATGCAAATTCCAGAACACTTAATTGTGCTTATGCGGAACCTGTACACAGACTGAGAGGCAGTCGTTCAAACAAAACAAGGAGATACCGTGTGGTTTAAAATCAGGAAAGGTGTGTGTCAGGATTGTATCCTTTCACCATACTTATTCAGTTTGTATGCTGAGCATATAGTCCGAGATGCTGGAGTATATGAAGAAGAACATGGCATCAGGATTGGAGGAAGACTCCTTAACAACCTGCAATATGCAGACAACACAACCCTGGCTTGCTTGCTGTAAGTGAAGAGGACTTGAAATACTTACTGATGAAGATCAAAGACCACAGCCTTCCGTGTGGATTATACCTCAACATAAAGAAAACAAAAATCCTTACAACTGGACCAATCAGCAACACCATGATAAACAGAGGAAAGACTGTAGTTGTCAAGGAATTCATTCTACTTGGCTCCACAATCAACGCCCATGGAAGCAATAGTGAAGAAATCAAATGATGCGTTGCACTGGGCAAATCTGCTGCAAAAGACCTCTTTCAAGTGTTAAAAACCAAAGATGTCACTTTGAGGACTAAGGTACACCTGACCCAAACCACGGTGCTCTCAATCACTTCAAATGCATGTGAAACTTGGACAATAAATAAGGAAGATCAAAAAACTGATACATTTGAATTGTGGTGTTGGCGAAGAATACTGCCTATACCATGGACTGCCAGAAGAATGAACAAATCTCTTGGAAGAAATACAGCCAGAATGCTCCTTAGAAGCAAAGATGGTGAGACTTTGTCTCACTCACTTTGGACACGTTATTAGGAGGGACCAGTCTATGGAGAAGGGCATCATGCTTGGTGGAGGGTCAGTGAAAAAGTGACAGATTTACACACAGGCTTCAACAATGGGCTCAAGCATAGCAATGACTGCAAGGATGGCACAGGACCCAAGAGAGTTTCATTCTGTTGTACAAAGGGTCGCTATGAGCCAGTACTGTCTCAACAGGACTTAATGACATTTCCTAGCCTTTATTTCTCCTAGAGGTATATTAACATTAATAAATGTGGGCAAAACATTATAAACTCCCTGGTTAAAATGCTGTAACTGTTTTTGGTTCCTCAAGCTCACCTTGCCATTTCATGTTTGGATCTTTGATCATACAATTTACTCGCTCTGCCTCATGCCCTTTCCCTCTGGTATATCTGGTGAGCTATTATTAACTCAAATGCCACTCTTGGAAGTCTTCCCTATATACCCTCTAAAGAATAAGTTACTTTATCTACTACTTCTGTACCATATACATTCTTAAATTGTTACATTTAACTTGTAATATAAAGCCATTTATTCTTTCTATATACCTTGTTTATACAAGTGGTTTCTTCTACATGGAACATTCTTTCCACTATTTTTTGCTTGTCTAATTTTTACTCACACTTAGACGTATTCTCTAGAAATCACTGTCCAAATTTCCAGATTAAGCTAAGCGCCCCTTCTTTATACTACCATATCTCCTTCTTAATAACATTCTTTAAAAAAAGTCACCACATTCCTGAAATATCTATCTGTTAATGTCTCTATCTCCCTCATTAAAGAGTAACTTGATAGCTGTCACATGTGTAATGCATTTCCTTCAGGAACACTCTTATGATGGGCACTGATTCTCAAGCAGAGGAGCACAATCTCCTTAATACCTTACCCTGGTTGAGGAGTAGCTCGTTAGACTGTCAGCTCACTCTTTTTTTGTACTCTTAAGGCCTAGCAAAAACATTCAGTAGTTATACGGGGAGTATATTTATTGTATGGACCTGTTAAGATTGAAGCAGTACAAAAAAAGAAACAAAGGAACATGTAACAAAATAAATAACACAAGCTTATTTTTCACTTTAGCAACTTACGTTCTGGCTGTTTCTCATTGGGTGTTATGGATCGTACAAAATCTTCTGGAGTCATAAACACTTCAGATTCACCAGGCTCATTGATTACTTTCAAGGTGGCAAAATACCGGAAGATTTTGTCTGGTGTGGAGTAGGCTCGAATTCTATTCTCATATTCCATCACCTGAAATTGGAAATTTAGAGAGTGCTACTATATCAAGCAATATTCATTCTCATATACTTCCCACCTTATTTTTGGGGGAAATTTTATTATATCATTTTTTTACTATAACAGTATTATTTTATATTAAAAATAAACTTGATTTTCAAAAATTGTTGAATCTTTTTGTTGCAACATGCCATTCATACTCCAGTCAAAGCAATACTTACATAACTTTTGTTTAGATTTTTTTTTTTTTGAAGACTTTTATAATTTCTCAAATCACTGAATCCTAGCAAAACTGAAGACTGTCATAAGAGAATTCAAAAGGTCTCAGTAACAGGGTACACAGCCACATATATGGTAGCCTATAGGTTCTTAAATACCATTTTTTAAAACATTTTATTGTGTTTTAGGTGGAAGTTTACACAGTAAATTAGTTTCCCATTCAACAATTCACATATAAATTTTTCTGTGGACCAAACTTACTGGCCTGACAAGAGACTGGAGAAGCCCTGAGAGTATGGCCCCCAGACACCCTTTTAGCTCAGTAATGAAGTCACTCCTGAGGTTCACCCTTCAGCCAAAGATTAGACAGGCCCATAAAACAAAATGAGACTAAAGGGGCACACCAGACCAGGGGCAAGGACAAGAAGGCAGGAGGGGACAGGAAAGCTTGTAACAGGGAAGCCAAGGTCAAGAAGGAAAAATGTTGACATGTCGTGGGGTTGTTAACCAATGTCATAAAACAACATGTCTACTCACTGTTTGATGAGAACCTAGTTTGTTTTGTAAACCTTCATCTAAAGTACAATCTAAAAAGTAAGTAACTGGAACACAAAAACATTAAAAAGGAGAAAAGAGAAAGCTCAAAATACCAAAGCTAGCTTCTTCTCAGCTTTGAGTTTGTGGCAAGGATAAAGTGGGGCCTAAATTTGGTCAGTTCTCCACATGAGCCAAAGCCTCCTCCAGCCTGAGCCCAGAAGAACTAGATAGTGCCTGGCTACCACCCCTGACTGCTCTGACAGGGATCACAACAGAGAGTCCTGGCCAGAGCAGGAGAAAAATGTAGAACAAAATTCAAATTCACTCACACACACACACACACACACACGCACGCAAAACCCAGATTTACTGGTCTGACAGAGACTGGAGGAACCCCTGAGACTACTGTCCCCAGACACCCTACTAACTCAGAACTTATACTACTCCCGAAGTCCACTTTTCAGACAAATATTAGACAGGCCTATATAACAAGCAATAATACACGTGAGGAACGTGCTTTTTAGTTCAATCAAATACACAAGACCAAATAGGCAACTCCTGCCCAAAAGCAAGACAAGAAGGCAGAAAGGGACAGGAACTGGAAAAGTAGACACATGAACCTGGGGTGGAAAGGGGGAGTGTGCTGTCACACTGTGGGGACTGCAACCAATGTCACAAAACATGTATACATTTTTGAATGAGAAATTAACATGAGCTGCAAACTTTCACAATAAAATTAAAAAATAATAATAAATTGTTCTGTGACACAATGTGTTCCCCACAATGCGTCAGCACTTTCCACATTTTCCCCCTGCCTTCCCCATTTCCATCCCTTCAGTTTCCCTGGTAACCATCAAAAAATGTTGCTTTCTATGAGTAAACCTATTCCAACTTTCTTATAAAAGTAGTATCACACAGTATTTGTCCTTTTGTGATTGACTTACTTCACTCAGCATAATGTCCTCCAGATTCATCCATAGTATGTTTCATGGATTCATCATTATTCTTTATCGTTGCATAGTATTCCACTCTATGTATGTACCACAATTTGTTTATCCATTTATCTGTTGATGGACGCTTAGCTTGTTTCCGTCTTTTTGCTGCAATGAATATGGGTGTGTGTCTATTCGTGTCACTGCTCTTATTTCTTTAGGATAAATACCTAATAGTGGGATTGCTCGATCATATGGTATTTCTATTTCTAGCTTCTTGAGGAAGTGCCATACCATTTTCACAGTGGCTGTACCATTTAACAATCCCACCAGCAGTGTATAAGAGTTCCAATCTCCCTACAACATCTCCAGCATTTGTTGTTCTCTGTGTTTTTGATCAGGGCCATTTTTACTGGCGTGAGATGGCATCTCATTGTAGTTTTGATCTGCATCTCTCTAATGGCTAATAAGGGTGAGCATCTCTTCATGTGTTTGTTAGCTGCTTGAATGTCCTCTCTGGTGAAGTGTCTGTTCATGTCCTTTACCCTTTGCCCATTTTTTGACTGGATTGTCTTTTTAACATAATTCTTTTTTCTTTTTTTAATTTTATTGTGCTTTAGGTGAAAGTTTACAGTGCAAATTAATTTCTCATTCAAAAATTTATACACAAATTGTTTTGTGACACTGGTTGCAATCTCTGCATTGTGTCAGCACTCTCCCCTTTTCCCTTTCCACCCTGGTTTCCCTGTGTTCATTCATCCAGTTTTCCTGTCCCTTCCTGCCTTCTCGTCTTTGCTTTTGGGCAGGTGTTGCTCATTCGGTCTCATATACTTGACTGAGCTAAGAAGTACGTTCCTCACGTGTGTTACTGTTTGTTTTATAGGCCTGTCTTAATCTTTGGATGAAAGGTAGACTTTGAGAGTGGCTTCAGTTCTCAGTTAGCAGGGTGTCCAGGAGCCATAGTCTCAGGGGTTCCTCCAGTCTCTGTCAGACCATTAAATCTGTTTTTTGTTTTGTTTTGTTTGGTTTGTGCATTTGAATTTTGTTCTACATTTTTTCTCTCACTCTGTCCAGGACACTACTGTGATCCCTGTCAGAATGGTTGGTGGTGGTAGACGGACTGGCACCATCTAGTTCTTTTGAGCTCAGGCTGGTGGAGGCTCTTGTTCATGTGGTCCGTTAGTCCTTTGGACTAAACTTTTCCTTGTGTCTTTGGTTTTCTTCATTCTCCTTTGCTCCAGACAGGATGGGACCAATGGCTGTTTATCTTAGACGGCCACTCACAAGCTTTTAAGACCCCAGACACTACTCACCAAAGATGCAGAACATTTTCTTTATGAACTATGTTATGCCAGTTGGCCTAGATGACCCCCAAGACATCTAGGCTGGTCCCCAGCCCTGAGTCCCTGCAACTCGGTCCCTCAAGGTGTTTAGATGTGTCTGGGAAGCTTCTATGGCTTTGGCTTGGTCAAGTTGTGCTGACTTCTCCTATATTGTGTATTGCCTTTCCCTTCACCAAAGTTACCACTTGTCTACTATCTAGTTAGTGATTTCCCCTCCCCACCCTTCCCCTACCTCGTAACCATCAAAGATTGTTTTTTCCTGTGTGTAAACCTTTCTTGGGTTTTTATATTTGTCCTTTTGTGATTGACTTATTTTATTCAGCATAATATCCTTCAGATTCAGCCATGTTGTGAGAAGTTTTGCAGATTCATCATTGTTCTTTATCGTTACATAGTATTCCATTGTGTGTTTGCACCATAATTTGTTTATCCATTCATCTGTTGATGGGCACTTACATTGTTTCCATCTTTTTGCTACTGTGAATAATGCTGTAATGAACACGGGTGTGCATACGTCTATTGGTGTGACGGCTCTTATTTCTCTAGGATATATTCCTAGGAGTGGGACTGCTGGATCGTATGGTATTTCTATTTCTAGCTTTTTAAGAAGGCACCGTATCGTTTCCCATAGTGGTTGTACCATTTCACACTGCCACTAGGAGTGCACAAGAGTTCCAATCTCCCTGCAACCTCGCCAACGTTTATTTTCTGCTGTTTTGATTAGTGCCAATAACATTGGGATGAGATAGTATCTTATTGTAGTTTTGATCTGCGTTTCTCTAATGACTAATGATCGTGAGCATTTCATCACGTGCCTGTTAGCTGTCTGAATGTCTTCTTTGGTGAAGTATCTCTGTTCATATCCTTTCTCCATTTTTTTAAATTGGATTGTCTTTTTTGTCGTTAAGGTGCTGAAGTATTCTACAGATTTTAGAGATCAGACCCTTGTCATAGCCAAAATTTTTGTCCCAGTCTGTAGGTTCTCTTTGTACTCTTTTGGTGAAATCTTTGATGAGCAGAAGTGTTTAATTTTTAGGATCTCAATATTATCTAATTTATCTTCTGGTGTTTGTGCATTGTTAGTTATGGTTTGTATTATATTTATGCCATGTATTAGGGCCCCTAGCATTGTCCCTATTTCTTCTTCTAAGATCTTTACCACTTTAGGTTTTATATTTAGGTATCTGATTCATTCTGAGTTAGTTTTTGCATACGGTGTGAGGTATGGGTCCTGTTTCATTTTTTTACAGATGGACATCCAGTTTTGCCAGCACCATTTGTTAAAAAAGACTGTCTTTTCCCCATTTAATGGACTTTGGTCCTTTGTCAAGGATTGCTTGTCTTTTTGTTGTTGACATGTTGAAGTTTTCTATATGTTTTAGAGATTAGACCCTTGTCAGATACGTTGTCAAAAATTTTTCCCAGTCTACAGATTCTCTTTTTACTCTTTTAGTGAAGTCTTTTGATGAACATAGTATTTAGTTTTTAGGAGGTCCTAGTTATCTAGTTTATCTTCTGTTGTTTGTGCATTTTTAGTTATGTTTGCTAGTCTATTTATGCCTTAAATTAGGACCCCTAGCTTTGTCCCTATGTTATCCTCCAGGAACTTTTAAGTCTTAGGTTTAACATTTAGGTCTTTGATCCATTTTGAGTTAGTTTTTGTGTATAGTGTGAGGTATGGATCCTATTTCATTTTTCTGCAAATAGATATCCCGTTTTGCCAGCACCATTTGTTAAAGAGACCACCTGTTCCCCATTGAATGAACTTTGATCTTTTGTCGAAGATCAGCTGTCTATAACTGGATGGATTTACTTCTGGGTTCTCAATTCTGTTCCATTGGTCTCTGTGTCTGTCATTGCACCATTACCAGGCTTTTTTCACTACCTTGGCTGTATAGTCAGTTTTGAGATCAGGGAGTGTGAGGCCTCCTACTTTGTTCTTCTTCTTCAATAATGCTTTGGCTATTCGGGACCTCTTTCCTTT